TGGAAAATGCATTTAAATTCATGTATGTCTTTGTTTCTGTAGTTGTTTTGTTGATTTGGATTATGGACCACAGTCTGGGCTGAAGGAAGTACAAAATTGATGGAAGGAAAATCAAGTTTATTGAAATGAACTTCATGATTCCCCCAGAGACAGGAGCAACAAAGGTCACAACTTCCCGAGGTCACTCGGCAGTGTGGTCAGCGAGAAGTGGAGCTGCAAGGCCTGACTTTCTGTCCCTTCTCCTGACCACCATCACATCCCTCCTGCATCACCGTCACTCCTCATGGGGGTGGGGGGCAGGGGGAGTGGAGGGCTCTCTTCAAGGTCAGCGGGAACCTCGCAAAGAACCAAACTCTGGGTGGCTAAAGCTGTGAAGTGCAACCTCCTCTCTAACCTTTACAAACGCTTGATGAGACGCGGAGCCACCCATAGGGAGAAGGTCAACAGAGGACTGTAAACACTGGCACAGATGCGCTTAGTTAGTATCACCCCACTTCACATTCTGCTTTCTCCCCAAACAGGAAGGGTTTCAGGTCACTTTCAGTTTCAGGTCAATGTCAGATAATCCTTAAAAAGGGAATGCTAAGAACAAAGAAACCAGACCAGGAAAAAATAAAAGTAAAAATAAAAACCTCTGACCAAGCCAAGCCTCTAAATATAACTTTTCCACTTACCTCAATGCAGATAATTCTAAGATATATATTTCTGATTCTATTCATTCTGTTTAAACGAGAAAGACCACACCAGGGTGAGCAAGGCAGGGTGGTCAGGATGCATAATCTAATGACAGTGTGTGGAAGCCACTACAGAAGACAGCAGGAGAGCTGCCAGAGCGTGCGGCGAGGCTCGTGGCTGATCTCCACGCAGAGGCCACGGATATTTTCCAAGCATGGACAGCTCTCACTGAAATGAAAATAGAAAATGCAGGACCAGAGCCCACACTAAATATCCAGTTTAGTGAAAGACACGAAAACTGCCCGTGGAAGTGGGATGTATTTGGCTTTGCTATTCTCAACAAAGAAATGAGCCTACGCACTGCAATATTTTCATGATTAGGCAAAAAGCCTGTCAGTCTTTGCTAAAGAACATTGAACTGATGTCTGTTTCTTGTGCATTTGCTTTCTAGTCCTCAAGTGATACTTTTTAGAGCCAAAATATTTGTTTGCAATTATATAGTGTTGTTGTTTGTTGTTTGTTTATTTGTTTGGTGTTTTTTTTTTGTGTGTGTGTGTGTGTGTGTGTGTGTGTGTGTTTTGTTAATCCTCACCCAAGGAGATTTTTCCATTGATTCTTAGAGATAGTAGAAAAGAGGAGGAGAGACACACAAAGAGAAACATCAATGTGAGAGAGAAATATTGACTGAATGCAGGGTTCCAGCCTGCAACCAAGATATGTGCTCTTGATTGGGGATTAAACCCAAGACCTTTCAGTCCATGGGTGGACACTCTATTCAATGTCCATATTCAATAAAACCGGCCAATTATACACTTTCGAAAAACATAAAGAATGCACAGAGATCAAGAAATGGATAGCTAATGTGATTATTCAAAAATGATAAAAAGTAGCCCTAGCCAGTTTGGCTCAGTGAATAGAGCATCGACCTATGGACCGAAGGTCCTGGGTTCGATTCTGGTCAAGGCCATGTACCTCAGTTGCAGGCTCCTCTTTGACCTGGGCCCTAGTCGGGGTTTGTGCAGGAGGCAACCAATGAATGTGTTTCTCTCACATTGATATTTCTCTCTCTGTCTTTCCCCATCTCTTCCATTCTTTCTAAAAATCCATAGAAAAATATCCTCAGGTGAGGATTAAAAAATAAATAAATAAAAGTGCAATCAATGCCAGGCACCTGTTGCTTCTCCCTGTTCATGGTCCTCTTTCCTATTAAGGGAAATGTTTACATGAAATTATTGCCACATCACAGGACAATGTGGAAGCACAAGCCACCTGATGTCAGTGAGACAATGTCGAAAAGAGTCCAGGTTTATGTACTAGTAAGCTTTACCAAAGATCAGAAAGGATACAGAAGAAAACTCATAGGTCAGTGCGTGGGGGTTAGGTTTTACTCATATCAATTCTAATTCTGTGGGCTCTCCAAGGTCCCCTTTAGGTTTGGGAGAAGTTGTTACCATCCATCCATTAATAAGAAATGCACCAGGTAACTGAGAAGGCCCACTCTTCCTGCCCCTCTCCACGTAAGGCAGATGCAAGGCAGCAGGAACTATATTTGGTCTAGTAGGAAATTCCTGATGGGTATTCCATTAAACCAGCTACAAAAGAAATTGTACTCGCCAATTCTCCAATGCCCATTGTCCCTATGTCACATTGAATGTGGTCTTGGAAAAAACAGCTCTGGGTCTTCTGACCATCCACTCCCAGAACAGATCAAAGCAATGAATGAGCTATAGGAAATGTAAGAGTGTATCTCTGTGGAGGGGCGAAGGGGACAAGGTGTGAAGGAAAAGGGGAGTTGGTTAGAAAATTTCTCAAGTAGGATCCAGTAGGAGATCATCATCAGAGTAATAAAGGCAAGAATTGCCACTCTAGTTTGGGCCAAAGAGCAGCAGGGAATTGTGGGGCAAGATTTCCCTCTTAAATAAAGAAGCCAACTACTTTTGTCACCTTGTCATCCCCTTTCTTCTTTCCTCTACATGCCATTTGTTTCCAACTACAATTGCATATTCAAACCACCACGGGTCTCTAGAAGGGATTCTGAATGACAGGTTGTATACACTTCCTCCCTTAGAGGGACCAAAACTCTTTCCCTTTGCACTTTCCCAAAGCTGGTGATACATTCTGCCCCCTGCAGCTAGACCAGTTTAAGATAATTTAATCACAGAAGCAAGGTACTATAGTGGTATTCAGCAATTTAGATTTTCATAAGATTTTCTAAATGTATTTTTAATGAGTAATAAGGGTCATTTATGTGACTACTTAACATTTGTGTCTGAAGTAGCATAATAATGATTTTCAGTATTTTTAATCGTGTTAGATTGAGTAGCTTTTATTTGGTACCTAGACTCTCCCAGTCCTCATGGTCTCTTGCACATGTCACTTGATCAACCCAAAGTTTAAAAGCATTAGAATTCTCACTTTTCTTCTATTAAGAATACTAAGTAGAGTTGAGAGCCCCATCTGCTTCTGGTCATCAGATAAAATGAACATAGTAGTAGGAATTCGGGGAAAACAGAGATATTTTAGTCAGCATATATTGTTAGGATACTCAGAGTACTTCTGAGTTTAGTTTGGTCTTTTTTTAAACCAAGTGTATTTTCCTCTAAAATACATATATTTGATCATTTAATGGAAAAACTAAAAATAAAATTATATGCATGTTGGTGAGAACTTTAGTAAATACTTCCAAAGATACCACAAGAGGAAAGAGAAGATACTCTTTTCAATCAATATTGGTATTACAATTGTGCAATAAAACAGGTAATTTTAAAATTCCAGTTATTTCCAAAGACCTTTGAAAACGGTTCTTAACTCAGAATTATTATGCTCCCACTGGCCTGTTTACTATACAATGTTGTGAATGTTAACCATATTATCAAATTGTTTTTCTCACAGGCTACCAATAGTCAGTTAATATAAATCTTGATAAACAGCATGAACATTAACTAGAAAAATATATTATTACTCTTTTTTTAATATTCAAGATATGCTTTATGTAATATCAAAATAATTTAAATGGCACTGTTGTTTTAAAAATGTGCTTCTGCTTAACCCATAAGCCTTTTAGTATTTTCCTGGTAATTCAACAAACTTCTTAAAATTGAGCAAAATTAAGATTTTGTGCTTCTATGTTTACCAAAAGAGCATATCACACTGACAAATATGATAATCTTATAAAAAAAAAACAAACAAGAAAAGAAAACTGTTCTTATTTCAAAGGTTTAAGAAAAAAAGGCTATTTACTATGCAGACCTAGAATTCTTGTTGTTTTAAGATAGCAAATTAGAAAAACATGGCCTGGGTCAGAGGCTACTCAATCAGGTTGAGCTGGGCCTTTCATTCCAGCAGCTCCCATTCCCCAAATTATATCTGATAATATCCTGAAGTCTAAACATATTTCAGTTCAAAAAGATACTCAGCTCTAAGATAGATAATGGCACTAAACTTCCAAATATCAACAGGTTTACCCACCTTCTTCAACTGATGTATTTGTATTTAGATTAAACTGCCACTCAGTACATCTGAATTGTAATATTTGAGGAACTGAAACTTTAAGCGAGAACGTTTGTTTTGCATTTTCCTGTGCATAATCATAGGATAGGAACATTAATAAAGGGGTTGGCGCCTGGGCCACTACAGAGGCCTATTATTTAGGCAGAGTCATGGCAATGGAGCAAAGCTGAATGTTCACGAGTGCAGTGTAATTTCAGCCTCTATTGTGTTGAATGGACGAGAAGAAAAATGCATCAGCAGACATAAGGAGCAAACTACCCAAAACTATGTGGAATGCTCTCTGCATTTGCAAACTGGAAACAGCATCTATATTTCTCAACAAGTCGGGAAAGATTCACGAGAGGTATTTCCTTAAACCAGCTACAAAAATATTATTATCTGCAAGCAAGATGGCGCCCCTCAACTTAAAATTGGCAAAACCCTATTGAACTACATTTCAAAGAGAGGAGGGAGCTTGAAATGGTAGTGCTCTGCGGATGTCCATGTGGGTGGGCAAGCATATGCTGCTGCTGAGCAGAGGAAGTGGTATACCAGGATTTCTTCATAAGTGTGAGGTCTTTATAAACTCATCTCTATGGGAGCAGTTTTAAATAGAAAGAAAATGACACACAGTCCCCAACCAGGCTTCCTAACTGTTTGGAGAGGGTTGCCACTTTCCCCAAACATTAGGTTACTGTGGGGAAATTTTCCAAAACTGTTAACAATTCCATTTTTAAATTCAGTTCTTCCTCTCCACATAAGACAGATGCAAGGCAGCAGGAACTATATTTGGCCTAGTAGGAGACTTAAGTTATTTTTACTGGGCTGACTCCTACCTGACAGTGGAAGACGTACTCTGGTGTGGTTTTCTTGAACTTCATGTTCCAAACCAAGGCCACTCCATCTGGTTCATGGGGAGCATCTTCATTGTTGTTGTAGGAAGCGACCATCAGCTCGGGGTACTGAGGGGAAAGGGTCACAAGAATGAATTAGGCCAAGATGACAACACAAAGAATACTTTAATTTCTACAGACACATGCTATCCTCCGTACTTTCAATGTCACTTTAATTTTAAGCTGTGGCATACTTAAAACCTATTGCAATCTGGTTTCTGCTGCCAACATTCCACATGTGCTTGTCATAGTTGCCAATAACTACCAAACTGCACACATTGTTGGACCTTTCTGTATTAGATGGCATGTAGGCTTTTCCCTCCTTTTTCCTATGTTGGTTTCCATTACATATTTCTCTCCTGATTTTCTTCTTGCCCACTCTTCTTAGTTCCTACAGGTTCTCCATCTGTTATCTATGTTCCATGGAAGCATTTATGCCCTACTTTTCTTTGGTCTTCGTATACACATTTTCCCTGGGCGACCTCATCGTCTCTAATGGTTTTAACAAGCATTAATAGGCTGACAGTGTTCAAATCTATACTTTTTAGGCTTGATTTCTCTCCTAGCTGCAGATCCTTATATCTGACTGCCTCCTGGGGATTTCTCAGGGCTGCCCACAGACACATCGGATGCAACCCATAGACAAATGATCTCGTTGCCTTCCATACAACCTACTGCTCTTTCAATGTTGCCTCTTTTGGTGCCTTTCACTAACATTTGTCTAGTTGCCCAGCCTGGACACTCCCCATTCATTTTTACTGTTTCTTCTTTCACTGCTTCCTCAATACCTTTCAAATGCATGTTTTCTTCCCATCCTTAAGGTGGGAGCCTCCTAAACTAATTTCTTATCTGAATGAAGGCAACAGCTTCCTAAATGGCTCCCTGCTTCCAGGCTCTCCCGGCCCTACCTTCACCTACTTTGTCAATATGACTTTACAACAAACATCTGCTAAGGCACTCCTCTGTTTAAAATACTATAAAGGCTCATTATTACTTTTAAGATAAAATGCAGGTCATATAGGATCCTTCTGTCATTTTCTAACTCCTCTATTTAATCTCTTACAATTCTCCCTCCTTTTGCCCTCCTCACACTCTGTGAGCCAGCTTTGTGGTCACAGGTATGGCGTCTGTACTTATGAGTCTGCTTACTCTCATTGGAATGCCTCTTCTGTGTGGTAGACATCATTAATTCACTCTTTAAGATTCAATGCAGGCATCTAGTCCTCCAGATAATTTCAACTAACCATGTACCACCTCCCCTTGCCTCTCATTGTCTCTTTGAGCATTATGTGTGTGTGTCCCCCGCCCATTAATGCACTTGTCAAATTGTATTATGGTTTTCCCCCCACCTCTGTCTCTTACAAGATTGGAAGCACTTTGAGTGCAAAGACTAGTTTTTATTGACTTCTGAGTCTAGGGTCTAGCAACTCCTAGCACATGCTAAATTTGTGCCAAAATCTATTGAATTACAGATGCTTTAAAAAAAAAAACTTTAATAACTGTGCTCAGTGGACTTTATATTTAATCCCTTTTTATAAAATAATTCCAACAATTCAAAGCATAAGTGCAGGAAACACAACCAGTAAAACCATTAGAACTCCACAGTGAATAGAAATACCTCCTCACTCTATGATATCTCTGTGCTGTGTGTTAATAAACAAACTGGGGGTGGACCTCATGGGAAATACAACATTTCATAAATAGGCCACTCCTACCTGGGATTTCCATAAGGCAGCCATTAAAAATTTTATTATTACATATGCAATTATATTAGTATTATAACATATCCTATCACCCTTCAGAGATCATTTAATTTCTCTCCTATATTTCTCTATGTGGTGTATATATTTAAAAATAGATTATCCTTATAAATTTGAACATCAACATTTTTCTATCTAGAATAATTAAACCTAAGTCTTCCCTGTGGCTTTATTCATTCATCTCTCAATTTAAGAAAACTACACAAGCCAGGACCGGTTTGGCTCAATGGATAGAGCGTCGGCTTGGGGACTGAAGGGTCCTGGGTTCGATTCTGGTCAAGGGCATGTACCTTGGTTGCGGGCATATCCCCAGTAGGGGGTGTGCAAGAGGCAGCTGATCGATGACTCTCTCTCATCGATGTTTCTAACTCTCTATCTCTCTCCCTTCCTCTCTGTATAAAATCAATAAAATATATTAAAAAAAAAAAAAAGAAAAGAAAAGAAAACTACACAAAATGACAACTTGCTGGTTGACGCAGAGGAAGTACAAGCCTACAATGCTTGTATGCGGCTATCATTGGATGTAATCACTCTTTACCAGAAAGCACTCCTCAGTACCTAAGTCCAAGGCCCATTGAAAGACACTACATATAGATAACACAGAAGTCTCCAGACTGTCCAGCTGAAGTTTGAGTACGTGGCATGTAAAAAGGCAACTCTATAAACATCAACACCACCACTATCAGAGTGGTCAATGAACAGCCAGATGTGTCTTCGCATCTGGGTTTCATCGTCGGCTCCCACTTGTAGCTTTTCTTTTTTCCATTAAAAATATTTTAAATTATTTGGGTTTAAACCCCCTTTAGAAAACAGGGAGAGCTTTAGTAAAATATCAGGGAAATGTCTTTGGTGGTAATTTCTATAATTGGGATCATAAGTCCTAAAGATACTACTTTAACTCTTATTGTGTGTGAAATTTTATGAATTCAAAAATCTCCTCTGTTTTGCCTTTTTCTGTTATTTCTTTGAACATGACTAGTCAAATTTATTATTATCCAATAAAAAATAAATTTCTGAACAATTATTTAAACCTTAAATGTTAAAAGTATGAGTTTAAAGAGAATGCGAACAAGTACTATGAAGTTTGTGATTACTAATGAGGCTGGATTATCTAATATTTGAGGAGAATTCTTACATGGAAATGACCAGATCTGCTCTCAAGCTGTTTGCTGTGATAGAGAAATAAAGTCTAACTTTTATTAGAGAGAAAGGAAACAACATGTGTTAAGTGCCCTTTATGTGCCAGACACTGAGCTGGGTGATCAACTCATTAGGTCCTTGCAATCTAAACTAGCAATGGTTTTCCTATATTACAGGTGTAGAAAGTCCCTGGGTGAGTAACTTGTTTCTAGTTATGATGCTAATAGGTGAAGATGTGAGAACCCTATTTAAAGTCTTTTTGGCTTCTAGTCCATTTTAGCCTGCATCAAGTACTTCCTATGCATTTGTAAGGCACAGTGCCAGCTAAAATGTAACAACAAGCTTTGCTCTATAGGAACTCTCCACTAAGTAGAGGGAAGTGAGACACATGCATGTGTAACTATAATCATCTATCTATCTATCTATCTATCTATCTATCTATCTATCTATGTATCTAAGAGCCTAATATGCAAATTGTCCCCACAGGAGTTATACCAGGAGACCAATTGCTTGCTATGATGTGCGCTGACAATTTAGAGGGCAGTGCAGAACAAAGGAAGGCCATGGTTGGCAGGCGAAAGACCAAAATTGGCTCTGACTGCGGGCCAGGCCTATGGACCCTACCTGTGCAAGAATTTCGTGCACCAGGCCTCTAGTACAAACATAAAAGCAGAACATGATATGTGCTAAGATAGGAACATAAACAAGTACAAAGGATAAAATAACCACTTTAGTTGGGGTGTTGCAGGGGGAAAAAATTGAAAAAGATTTCCAAAAAGAAATGAGAGTTGGGTTTTATCAAATGGGTAGGTAATCAGGAGTAAAGGAGAAGACAGAATGAACAAGGGTACCAATATGGGTACAGGATATTTCTCTTGGGTGTCAGCTGGCTCAGTGATGCTCCCATGTCTGGAGATGCCTCAGTAAATAGCTGTCTAATTTCCCAGGGACAATACATTCATTGCAGGGCTGACATCCAATGGGCTAAACACATTCTCTTAGCTGGCCATTGTAAATTTTGAACCGAGAAACAAAACCTGTGGGTTGGCAAGTGAGTTAGATTATGAGAGCATTTTATTGCTGAGGTCCTCCCCGCTGTCCAGATTTCTACTCTTCCTGACTCCCAGTTCTTTATCTTTTCCATGGATCCCATAAGTACCGGAGTGGCTTTCCAATAAATTCCCTTTTGCTTAAGCTAGCCAAAAGTGAAGAAGAATAGGTTCAGGAGACCTCAGAAGGTAGCATATGGCAGTGAGCCAAGATGTACTAAGAGGTAAGGCAGAAGAAAAGTTGTAAATATTTCAGGGCATTCTCATAGAAGTTACTGAGTATAGGCTAATCATTTTAGACTTTACTCTGGGGTGGAAGGAGTCATACATTGCAACTATTTATACTTGTGCTACTAATACTCTCTCCACTGTCACATGTATTGAGTACTTTGTATGTTCTAGACATTTTAAAAAATTGTAAGTGCTTTAAAACATTAACTCATTCAATAGTCACAATAAGCATGCAAGCTAAGTATTATTACCATCATTTTATGAATGAGAAATCTTAAGCCAAGAGAAGTCAGGCAATATGCCCAAGGTGATATTGAGAGCATATAAGTAATCTTTACAAGTGTTAATCTTGAAAGAATACTTATAATGACTCAACAATATAGAAACTTGGGTAGGAACACCAGTTAGGACGCTATTTCCAAAAGAAGAAAGAAGTAGAGGGCATGGCATAAAGTAGGTGTCAAATCCATATGTTAGCAGATTTGAATTGGTGTCTGTGGGAGTTTTCTTGCTATTGTAAATTTGATTTGGCAACTAAAAAAAACTGTCCAAAATTACTCGAGTTTGAATAATGATGACTAAAAGATTGGAGAATGTAATTTACATGTGAGATCATGAGTCTGGTTTTGTACCAGTCTATCACATGCTAAGTGTATAGTATTGTTGACCCTCTCTATTACACAATATCCAATGAATGACAAAGTTGATGTAATTCTCCAGGTGCTCACATTTCTTCCAGGAAATTATGTGTGGTGGATATTTTGCAAATATAAAGTGTTCTTGTTTAAGAATTTTAGGAGAGCAAAACAAAGTTATACAGAAACCTCATACAATAGATCCTCGAGTAACATTGTTTTGCTGTTATAAATTTATGAGATGCCTTAGGAATTGAACTCTTGTTTATATCAATTAGCACCTGGTGAAATTGGTTTCATCCTATGTCATTTTGTTTAAAGTCACAGAACCTATTTATGTTGTTAAGTGAGGACTTCCTGTAGTGTTTTCTTTTTTTCTCCCCTTTTTCCATTCTTTTCCACTGAGGTAATCAATAATCCTAGTGCATTTGTCCCTACTAGGGTGTAAGGGTGTGTTTCTGCCCCTCTTTGTTAATATCACTGGGTTGCATCTGGATCTATTCAGGAAGTCTCTTCATCCCCTACGAATATAAAAATGGTCCTATGAACCCCACAGAAATGTTATCATGTAGGAGCTGAGGGTTCTAAACCTTTTTCTCGTGCTCCATATGAAGTACATTTTTCAGAATTGCAAACCTCTTTATCATTATGTAGGTGAACAGCTTACACAAAAATGAGGGAAAATAAACATGTTTTCTCTATGGTAGATTTTCTGTCCTTTACAGGTTCTCTTTCTGAAACAAAAAAAAACATCACACAGAATCCTGCATGGAAGCAAATCCATCATGAGCAAGAAGGAGCTGGCCTTGTCACTCCTCTGGGAGTACTGTCAGCCAACCCAGGGACAAGTTCACGTTGCCTTTGAGGAATGTTCAGATAAGGTTCCTGTGTAATTTCCAGACTCTGAACAAGTGAACAAGCCGAGCTAAGTGTTTCCTTAGGCTTGGATCTGATTTCTGTGCACACACCAGAGTGTACTCACAGACCACCCACATAGCAGCGGGATGCGGCCGGGCAATCCCTGCTGGTATTAGTCTCTGCTCCATCATGACATGCTTGCTCTGCTATTTGGATGTAAAAAGGGACTCAAGAGGAGAGAACACTTACACACTTGGTGGCTGATGACAGTCCGGTTGTGGGGGATTACTCTCCCCTTCAGTTCTCCAGCATGATTAAATGGAGCTCTTCACACCATCTGTTTAACTGCTCTGCCTAGAACACCTTCTTCTTCCCTCCATTTGTCTGAAATTCCAGTTTTCTGAGAAGCCTTGTCTGACCAGAAACAGATATCAAACTCCACTGCATTCTGAAACACTTGCTACCTGCCCCATGTCATTTAGCATTTATAACCTCTTTTAGTGCCAGATTTATTGCCATTTGTGGGAGGCAGTGGTGAAGAGCATATGCCCTAATGTACTGAAAGGCTTGGGTTCAAATCTCTGTTCTACCACAGCCTAGCTGAGTGACTTAGCAAATATTTAGTTTCTCTGAGTTTCTATGTCTTCAGCTATAAAATGGAACAAGCAACAGTGGCCACCTCATGTGAAGTTATGAGGGTGAAATAAGATAATGCCATCCAAGCAGTTGGCACAGCACTTAGCATGTAAGAAATACAAACTAAAAGCTAGCCATGGTTATTCTTCCTAATAAAAGCACAGGATACAAGGAAGCAGAAATGGTGCTGGACATAAGTGGCCAGAACTCAGCATTCCTATTCTCCTCACTGCTATTATGCCATTGTCATTGCAGGAAGGAGCACAGCATGGTCATTGAAAACATGGGCTCAGGGCTCAGACCATCTGGATTAAAATTCTGCCTGGACCACAATCTAGGGGGTGGAGTGATCAGATTTGAACTTTAGAAAGATTATAGTTGAACCTTGAACAACATGGTTTGAATTACACTAAATATGTATAGCCTTTCCTTATCCCTGGCTTTTGAATCCGTGCTTGGGAATCCATGGCTGTGGAGGACTGACATTGTTCTACACTGTTTTATTAAAGGGACTTAAGCATTCATAGATTTTGGTATCTGTGGAGGGAAGGTGAGAGTTGGTACTGAAACCAATCACCCAAGATACCAGGGGACAAGGGAAAGTTATATGCAGATTTTTTACTGTGTGTGTGTGTGTGTGTGTGTGTGTGTGTGTGTGTGTGTGTGGTGGGGGTGGGGAGGGGAAGATCCCTAATCCATGCATTGTTCAAACTATATTTGACTTAATGTTCAGAAGATAGGTGGACAAGATATAGAAGGTTAGCAATATTACAGTTGTAAGATGAGGGATATATGAGTAGAGAAATAGATGGTTTTAGTGACCTATTGGGGTCTGGAAGATAAAGAAGTTGCTAATGTTAATAATGAAAGTTCTGCTTTGGCCCTTGGGTATGGCTTTAACATAGAGAGAATATAGTGGCAAAAGAAAAATTGTAATATGTGGAAATAATGACTTAATGTTATGTTTGAGATTCTTTGGGGCACCTGAGTGCATCTGTCTGTTGTGTGAAGTGGAATTGAGGAGGGTTATTAGGTGGGAGATAGAAGCAGGCTGCCCTAGTGGTGGTTGGATCCATACCAATGGAAGAAATCTCCCACGGAGACCATGTCGGGAAGAACAGTGAAGGGATGGCCATGAGGACCACAAGGATGGAGGAGAAAAAGATGCCTTAGAAAAGCCTGAGAACAAGAGGAGAACAGTGTGTGGAACTCTGTGGAAGGATATTGTTTTTAGAAGAATGAGAAAGCCAACTAAACTGGAATGCCAAGGGCAAGGAAGGCTTAACAATAGCCATAAGATTTGACAAATAGGAAACCACTAGCAGCCTTAATGAGAGCAGATTCATAGACAGAACGGCCGCGTCCCTGTCGGGTACCTGGCACATAGTAAGTACTCAATGTAAATGGATAACAGAGTGTAAAATTGAAACTGAAACCTCAGGAAAATAAGAAAGACACCCAACAGGCATAGAAAAAATTGTAGGTTAATGAGCATATTCAAAGTAGTGGACAAATCCCCCCCCCCCCCATCTCCTACTCCTCCTCCTCTTCTTCTTTCTTCTTCTTTTTTTAAATACAAATGCCATGAGAACACAAGCTCAGTTTGTCCCTTCCCAGCAATAATTCTTACCTGGAGAGACCAGTCCATACAGGTGACTACTCGGTGCTTGGACCAATGCTCATCATAGAACTGACGATTGAAAGAAAGGTTGGCTCCAGCCTGGACATCCCTAGGAGAGTTTAAATATCAAAGATAAACATGATGCTTCAGAATGGGGCTTGATCTCTTTTGCTAATGTTGAAAGAATGACATGGAGAAGCATGGTACACCACACTCCCTGAAGCCAAAGCATCCATTTATATAACAAACTCTGTTCGTAAATTAACTATCGAGGGTCACCTTTATGAAAAGCTCTCTCTAACCTAGCCCAGAAAAGGTTTCCACATGTTGTCCCAAGCCTAGTATGAAATGTCCAATCTGTTTCAGGTTCTCATCTTGTCCGGTGCTAAAGGAGTCCTCTCCTCTCAGTAAGTTCTATCCTAAAGCAGAGTTTACTAGAAATGTCCCGGTTGTCAAGGGAGCACACACACTTGGAGAGTCTTGGAGACCAGTGCCCCCTAGTCTGGCCTTAGACAAGAGGTGATATGCATGTTTCTCTTTACCAGTAATTTCTGATGAGCTGCAGTGGTTGCCTCCCTGCTCTATAGCAAGTGGCAAGTTCCACCATGAGACAGACTTGCTGGAGAGTGGAGGGTGCACCAAGTGTAGGAGATGCTACACATAGACTGAAACAGCTCCGGGGTCTGGGATAATTACACTCGGGCCAGTGTTTACTTGGCTGATACTCAGCCGGCCACCAAACCTCCTCTGAAGAGCGCTTTCCTGGTCCTGCATTTGCTCCATTGACCGAGTGTTTAAAGTGAGTCATGCTTATTCTCTGCCAGCAGCTTTTGGATGTGCATAAAAAAACTGCCTACATTTCTTGGGCTCTGGTTCAAGAATTTCCCCACACTCACCTTTTCTTCCCCGTTCATTTGCTTCATTCCGTTGGCTTGCATCCCGCATCACTTGTACTGGGTGACCTGGTTTCAGGTTATTTACTTAGGCTCTCATCAGCTGACTTATTCTGAGGTGTTTTTTTGTGTGTGTGTGTGTGTTTTGTGTGTGTGTGTGTGTGTGTGTGTTGTGTTGTGTTTTTTTCCTCCTGTTAACCCTTTTGTATCTCCAACCTTGCAAACTCAGGTAAGAGGTATATGCAGCCAAGTAACTTTCAGGAAGCCAGAATAGCAGTGGGCCAGGCACCCAGAAGGAAATAGCACCTAGAAACATAAACTGAGCCACAAAGTGGGCTTTTATAAAGAAAACAAACATTTTACAACATATATATTCAAAACACTATTGTCTCTTTAACTGTTTAGGGCATTTCAGAACTCCCTTTTGAAACTGTGTTTGGAGCCTGTGCTGTATTCCTTTCAGTGTCTTCAATGTTGTCCTTTGAGAATGTATTTAAATTTGAGAAATAAAAAAACTCAGGTCTGATGAAAAAGGCAGGTGATCTCACCTTTTCATATTGTTCTTGGCATAAAGAAATTGGCGACTAAAAACCAGCTATTTCTACTTCTTACGAAGCTCATAAAGTGCCTCTTTATTATCCCCACGATGATGGTTAGCAGCCACTGCCTTTTACAATGTATAGGTTGCAGTCACAGAGAAAGTCATTTGGGGCCATTTGCTTTTATTGATTACTTTTTTTGTTTGTTTTATCTGTAAATATATCCCTGCATATGTGTTTCTTAAAAGGCAATAGACACAGAATCTTATGGTGTCTAAAGAGGAAAACATTTCCAGTTCCTGTTCACTGTCTCCCACATCAGTTAAGATCTATCACATGTTTATTTTCTTCAGTTTCCTATTTGCTTAGACATAAAAACACAGATCTACTGGATATAACATAAATCTCCTTCTGCTGCTTATAAGGGTGTTTTGTCAGAGGACCAGGTATATACTACTCTGCCAGTCTCTATCACCTGGCCTGTTCCCCAGATATCAAGTTCAAAAGCATTTTACGGAAGCACATGATAATTACAGGGAAACTCTAAGCCAGAAGGTATATCCAAAGCCTTTAGTCAAAGCTGTTTAGCAAGATCAACCCTTGGAATTTCATCCTCCTCTGATTTGTTAGATTCGGGATTTGCAAAGGTGACTCACACATGAATTTAGAATCAACAGATAAGTTATTACTGTTTTGTTTTTTTGTTTTTTAAATGAACACAAGAAACTAACCCATCTTTTTCCTCTAACTCTCGACCACTATAGTCAAAAAAGATGTCCGAGTCTTCAGCCAGCGCTCTTTCAATGACTCGGATGGTCCGATCAAAAAAGATGAGAAATTCCTCTGAATGAAGGATCTGCTGTTTCTCTTCTTCTGTCAGCTCCCTTGGAGGGGCTTTATATGTAAAAGAGATCATTAGGAAAGAAAAAAAAACAAAAAGGACAATTAAAACATCTCAAGAGGAACCCAACTATTGAGACTGCTTATCAAAGGAATGATAAGACATAGAGAGATAAACCCTTGTAAATAGCCAGTCTAAATTACTCCCACATTCACACAGAACTTTTTTTTTGCAGACATCTTCATTGTCAATTTTACAAAAAAAAAAAAAAAAAAAAAAAAAAAAAATCTCGTACTGCTTACTGTTTTGAAAAGCTAAAACATATTACCAATGAAAATATATTGGTGGGTTCTAAGCAATCAGTTTTGAATAATGTTATTGTCTTTAGAACTAAACTGAAAAAAAAAGCTGAAATAATCAATATTAGAGAAATCTAAAACTATATATATATTAAAGACTATTGTAAAGGTGCACACATTAAATAATTAAGAACTACCTATGCTATGATGCATATAAAACCTGTCCTCTTTCTCTGGGTAAATTCATTTTATTTTAGATGGTAAGCTGATAAGGCTGACTGACTGTTATATACATTCCACTCAAAACCTGACATGTCCTTCCAAACTCCAAATATCTTCACTTTGTACACAAACACATGGGACAAATAAATGCTTCTGTAAGACACTCACTATCGCTTATATGCCTCACTTTTCTAGCATGGTTAAGCTTACCACAAATCCTGAAGATGCAAAATAATGAAGCAAAGGAGATGAAAAACCCAGCAATGTGTCATAGTATCTGCAAGAAAGTTCTCTTCAGAGTCACAATTAAGTAACATAAACTGTTTCTTCAGTAGCAGGGTTTACATAAACGGATAAAGGATTAGGAACTCTCCCCGACTGAGAAACCCTCAAGGACAGAAGCTGTCAGTTGAGCCTTTGTGGTCCTTCCTGAACCCCATTCAACTCTGGGCCGGGAGCCTTCAGTCCATGTTTGATGGATGACACTTTCCACAGCACCAGAAGTGCCTAAGGTTTAAACTACGGAAGGGGTAGTGCATTACAATTACAGGTGGGTCCCTGGTGGAATCACTCACCCACTGACTTTTCCAAACACTTCTACCACCATCCCCGTCTAACCAGAACCAATGTTCATATGGCCACGTGGTCAGAGGACTCTTTCAGGTGCAGACCTGGAGTATAATGTTTTATGCAAACATTACTTGCTTCTGTTCATGGTATCTCAAAGCCACTATTCTGACAAATGGGAACTGTCCAAAGCTCTTCTGCAGAGCCATGGAGTGGAACGCAAACATTTCAGGTTCATTATGCCTCTCCCCTTCCCACCGCCCCTTTCCTGCCCCAGACCACAATGCAGGAGATCCGGAGGGATGGAGTCCAAAATCTGTCCTTGTACAAGAAACTAGCATGACCCTGGTGTAGTTGGTTCACACCTTGAAAAATGCTCTCCAGGTAACATTATAACAAAAAGAATGATAAATCCACTCCAGTAGATCTCCAAGAACAGCCAATCCCATAGTTTTTAAATACAGTTAGAAACATTTCTTTGCTGCCGAAGTCTGCAGAACCTGAAAGATGCCAGTGTCTGCTAGGACTCTCCAAGAACCCCATCAACTTCTGCTGAGCAGAACTGCCCAGACACTGGCTGAGAAATAGTGAAAGGACCATAACAAGAACTCTACAAAACCAACATTTCCTGTGCCATATGTTAACTTCGATTCTTCAAGCAGTTAAAGATCTAAGTCTGATTTAAGGGTTAAAGATAAATACACTGGGCAAATAGTTAAGTATTTAATCATTACTCTTTAGGTAGCAATTTAGAAGTCTACTTCTTAAAACTCCTATATATTAGTATAAATTTGAATTTTTCACCTGTATGTAAGTTCAAGAAAACAGAAAAACTACTCAATGTAACTAGGCAAAATAAATAAATAACCCTACAAAATGTGAGGGTTATTTTATTTTGGTTAGTACTGTTACATCAATAAATAAACTTCACTAAACAAGGGTACTATAGGACCAAGAAAAATGTCTTATTTTAATAGCCTCATTTAGCCTTAGTCACTGTTGATGGATGACTGAAGCATCCTTGAAATTAGGCAGAGACAGGAATTTTCCCCTTTATTCCATTTTTATAATACTAAAAAAAAAATTAAAAAACCCTTTATATTCTCTATCTTCTTCAGTATCTTCTATTTCACCTGTATCTTTCCTTACTGGTCCATTACCTTGACTAAAAAAATAGTATCTGTGTAATTTTCTGTAATTTTTTTCTCCCCTGTAGCTTATTGTCACTTTGATCTCATCTTTCAAGACATACAACTTCTTTCTAAAAGAAACATAAATGGCTGATCAAAGTGTATTAGCAAAGGCCAAGCTCAGGTAGGTGAAGCAGTAGCCTCTTCAGAGTAGCCTCTTCAGATATTATATTTGACAATACAATATTTGGCTTAAAATTAAATTGCTGCTGGAGCAAAACAAAGGATAGATCTTACATGAAGCTTTGATGTCTAACAGGGATCAAATGACAAGATTTGTTAGCACAAAATAATGAGATGCATGTGCAGACAAGTAGTTTTTTGACATCATAAACAAAATTCAACTTAGGAGTTAAGTAGTACCACAGGTGTTTTTGGAAAACACACACACACACACACACACACACACAAAGAAAAAAGAGAAAAAAGAAAACAAACAAACAAACAAACAAACAAAAAAACCCAAACCTCTCATACTTAAAAATCTTTAAAATGATAAATGTTTTACAATGAAATGAAAATATAATGGAGCATCCAAGAACCATACTCAAAAGCTGTATTCAGAGATGAAACCTCTCCAGACATCATATTTTATGAAAGAAAACTGGTTGATTAATGGAATCCAGAAGATTCAAAATATAAATATAAACAATTAGAATCAGAATAGTTTTACCCCAGGACCCCCAGTCCCCCCGGAAATATCTATTTCTGTAGCTTTTCCCTATCACTGGAACCTAGTCAAATTTTTAACACGTTCGCTGCATGCAAAGAGCAGGATTAATTTAATAAAGCATATCAGAGCAAAATATGGGCATTATAATATTTTATTTTCTTATAAGAAATATTATAGCAGGTTTGTTTTTTGTTTTTGCAACAAAATTTTTATTATTTCTGCAAAGAACTAACAATAATTTTTGCATTTAAAGTAACCTTAAAAAAAGGTACTTTGTAAAAAGCAGAATATGTGAAATTGACTTACATGTGGTCCAAATAACATGACAGATTTCAAACTTGCAAAATTTACCTGAACAGTTATATTTAGCTTGAGTAACAAGTATGAAACATGTGTTGCTTTCATGAAATTCAAAGTTTAGATGGCTGCCTAACTCTGTGAATTCATGTCCTGTAAATTTAAAATCTAGTATAAATTTTATTTCAGGGTTTACTTTATATTCTATTTATTGTAGAAATGTTAATTTATCTTGGTTTTACATATGAAAATGCTTTTTTATGTCTTTCATGATTAGCTTAACCTATTTTCTTGAGTTTTCTTATCAGCCTTAAGGTGTTTGTTTTTTTTTTTTTTTAGTTTCTTTTTAATTTATTTATTATATAGTACATCTTTTGGTTTATTGGGTTGTTGGGATTTTTTTCCTCTGTAAAAATGTAAAATTCTTCATGAATTTCACAATTCTATTGAGTCTTTTACAGTATCATTTTTTTTTTTTTTTGGTGAAAAGTTATTTTAAAAATATTCAATTGTCTTGCCTTGTTCCTACGATGTCGTTTTAAATTTCAATATAAAAATTACATCTTTTAATGTTTTTCAAGAATATATTTAAAAGACAAAAATAAAATAAAATAAAACTCCACAAAGCTTAAATTTAAAATCAGATTAAATAGGAGCATGGCTCTTACGAGAATTTTACAGTGAAATCAGTTCATACACAACAAACCAAACCAGACTAACAGAGAGGGCATCCTCCACGGATGTTACTGTGAGGTTTAAGAGCTGACATGCGTGTACAGAAGTGAGGTTTCCAGTGCTATTGTTTCAAACCTCCAAACCTGAAGACACAAAGACACTCCCATATACAAATTCCCTCCATTTTGATTAAAAGCTAAAATGTACCTGCTGTTTTTCTCTCCTCTGTTGTGGAAAACAGAGTGAAAACAGTCATACAACAAACCCATATTTCTTTACTGTTTAATGCATTCTGATGTCACATGGGCAAAAATGTCAAAAGCTAGTGAGCGCTGATTATTTTCCCATCTCCCTTGCCACTTTTTTTTTTTTTTTTAAACTCCAAAACAGGCCAAATTTCTCAAAAATGTGTTCACTGGTTTGAAACCACGTATGTCAAGTTTCAGCCCAGAGCAAATTTTTATGGCTGAATAATAAATCCCTACAACTCAGGGTTCATAATGGAAGTGCTGACACAGCCCTAACTACCATGCAGCCATGTGAATGGCGCCACAATTATATCTGCTAGAGATTCTTTCAAAAGTTTGCAAAATACTGTCTTGCATTGGGAAAATAAAAATGCCATTGATGCCATCATAAACATGCTTTTAACCCATTATGTGCTAATTTGCAGAAAAGCCATTAATAGAGACTAAAGCGCACCGCACAGCAGTAACAGAAAATGTATTGCAAACGTCTTCTTGACTTTTAACAGGACTTTAATCAGTTCCATGAAGCATGAGTAACAGTTGAAATTAGAGGGTGTTTCTGCTCAGAAGTGAAAAAGGTGGTTGCAATGTTTTGCCAGAGTAGACAATTTGGAGGTTGGGGTGTGTGTGTGGGGGGGGGGGGAGGGTGGTCTGTGCCAAGACACGCAAAACATGCCCTATCTCCTTATCTCCCAGTATATCTTAAGGACATTTTGCAAAAGCAAGAAGAAGGTATCTTAGTAAATTCTGATTTATTTTGTCTCACACTATACCTGTGTCAATGATATTTTACTCACCAGCTTTAAAAAAGCTTGTTCTTAGTAGAAGTTTGGATGTGAAATCTCTTCATTCAAATCCATTTAGAATCTCTCACGAAAAGTAACTTTAGTCCCTTCCGTGGATGCTGCTATAAAAGATGAATCCACTCCTTGCCCTCCATTGTGCCCCAGAACTTGACCGTAACCAACCTCAGTACCTGAGCAGACTGAAGTGAGTACACGTGACCAGTATGTACTCTTTCCCTCAAACATCCCCAGTGACCACCATGTGACACACATTGTGCCAGAGCCACAGGCATCTTTAAATTGTTAAGTCAAATGGGCTTCTAATTAGTTATGTTGACCTATATGGTGGACATTCAGTAGGAAATATGGAAGGATCTTTTAAACCCACACTCTGTCCTCACAGACACTCATTGGTCAATAAGAATGACAATTTCAGAGTTCTCTTTTATCTGCAGGGCTGAGAATCTCAAAGGGATAATTTTTTAGGGAAACAGCACCTGTAGTATCGTCTTCCCCTTTCTTTTCCTTTGTTAAAATTTTTAAAAATTTCAATTACAGATAACATACAATATTATATTAGTTTTGGGTGTACTGATTAGACATTTCTATGCCTTCAGAGAGTGATCATCCCATACATCTGATACCATACATAGATATTACAATATTATTGATTATATTCCCTATGCTATATTTTACATCCCATAACCATTTTCTCTTTTGCTTTAGTTTTCTTGTTTGTGGGTTGTTGTTGTTTTGCTTTCTTGTTGTGTTATCATTGGGAATAAACAATAAAGCTTCTGGATAGCACAACAATTGGTAACAAATGTCTTATTTTCTCATTATTCAGTAATAATTTCACTGAAATCATGACTGGATTTGTTGCTGGAATTGTGGATGGTTTGCACTTTATTTGCCTCTATCACTCAAAATTAAAAAAAAATTACTCTTGCTTTGGAGATTGAAATTCATGCTGCTAAATGTAATGTATTGAACAATCATAGAACCTTCCCACACAGGGGGTGCACATTTAATTTTGACTTACCTCTAGAGTCCCTTAACCACACAATGTTTCTCCCACACCATACCTTCCTTCACTTCCTGTTTTTTGTCTCCATTTTCCAGTTCTGAATCATGGCCAATTTTAGGTTCCACCATTTCCTCATCATCTTCATCCTCTAGAAAAAAAGAAAGAAAGCAAGAGCAATGCACTATTATTGTTCCTTCAAATCAAAGCCTTGGTTGATGGTGGGAGGTAGGGGCAAAGAGTAAAGTTCCAATCATTTAGGGCAACTTCTAAGTGAATCAGTCCCCAATGAATGCCCAAGATCTATGTTCATGAATATATAAATAAATTATCTCCAAGAGGAGCCTCTTTGAAAGTACCCCCAAGTTGCTGAGAAAGCCGCCCTGAGTCAGCACCTGCTACTTCTATCTCCAGGCCCTCACCACATGGGCTGTCTTGGAATTGCCTCTCTGACCTCTGAAGCTTCTTCAGAGATGGCCCCAAAACAGATCTTAAAATGTTTCCACCTGGGGCACATTCTCCACAGGGGACACCTGCTGTACAGACGACTCATTTCCAATTTAATTCTCACCAAATTAATTTGTTTTTGACCTACAGGAAAGGGTTAAATACAAGTCTGACCCCAGGTCAAATGCCATTGGCAAGTAAACCACCAGGGGTAGGGCCCCCAAAAGTCATTGCCATTGGCCTCTGAGAAAGCAGCCAACCCACATGGCATTTACACATCCAGAGCAGCTCATGCATTAATGTGAATTTAATGAGCACTAACAAATGGACCCAGGAGGCTACCCCTGCCAGATGTTATAGTGCCCTTCCTGCCCTATGCAAATGTGTGCTCACTCTCTGCTCTCAACCTGCCTGTCTCAGAGGCCCCTTTCATTGTAGGCCTTTTGGAATCATCAGTCACGATTTAGGGAAGAGTCCAAATGTCACAAGAAAATCCAACTTATAAAAATAAAATGATCCAAAGAACTAAAACTTGCTTTCACAGTTTTTAATACATTACCCCCACTCCTAAGTATTATATTCACTGAAAGTTACTAATTTTGTTGGTTCAAATGGAGTTTAAAATAAATGACTTTATTTCCTTCCCCCATACATTCATTCATATATTCATTCATACAACCAATATTTACAAACCTTCTATGAGATCTAAAGCTCTCTATATAGTCCCATTTCCATCACAATAAATCCCGAGACATATCAACTCAAAACTTCAGCACCAAACAATTATAGAATGCCCTATAAATGCATACATAAATGTCCAAATAAATAAGTATGGATAGCCCAAAAAGTAACTCCAAAAGTTCCCACTATATTAAGCAAGTAATTTGTGTAAGGAATATCAATTTTTAAAATATGGATGTATAAAGTATAGCAGTGCAATTTAGATAAATAAATTTTTAACTGAAATATATTACTCTGTACACATCATCAACCTCATTACCTTATAACCACATTATCTATCTATCTATCTATCTATCTATCTATCTATCTATCTATATAAAGAGGTAATATACAAATTAGCTGGGAAGCCATAACAGTCATGACTGGTCAGGAGGAGGCTGCATGCAGGTGAGGCCTGGAGCAGAGACGGAGACAGAGACAGAGGGGCCTGCCCAAGTCACCAAGGCCAAGGGCAGGCCCAGAGAGGAGAGGGCAGGCCTGCCTGCAGCCTCCTCGGCAGAGTGGAGGCCAGGAGGGGAGAAGTGAGAGGACCCTGCTCAGCTGCCAAGGCTGAGGACAGGCCCTCATCGGTAGTCCTGGCTCTGCACATGAGCCGCAGAGGAAACACCTTTTCTGACTGCTCATTGGCTAAGCTCCCTGTATGCCACTCGCAGTGTTCTTGATAACCTGCCTAATAAGAATCCAAGAAGGTGACCTAGGGTTTTTCCACTACACTCCTGGGATAAGAAACAAAGGTCTGCTGCTAGAGGGTCTAAGAAATGGCATATCCTGCCTCAGTTGGATTGGCTCAGTGGATAGAGCCTCAACCTGCTGACTGCAGGGTCCAGGTTCAAGGGATTGTACCTAAGTTGCAGGGTTCTCCCTGGCCAAGGCCCAGGACAAGGTTCATGCAGGAGGCAACCAATCAAAGTGTCCCTCTCACATTGATGTTTCTTTCTGTCTTTCCCTCTCTCTTCCATGCTCTCTAAAAATGAATGGAAAAATATCCTCAAGTGAGGATGAAAGAAAGAAAGAAAGAAAGAAAGAAAGAAAGAAAGAAAGAAAGAAAGAAAGAAAGATCATATCCTATGAAACAGACATGTTGAAAATGCCTAAAGAAAGTTGTCATTTTTTTGTGGTGAAGGGACTTGGCAGCTGCAGTGGCTGGCAGTGGCACAGCAGCAGTGGGGTGACGGAGGTGGCACCTTCCCCTGATCAGTTGGGTTGCCTCCTGCAGAGAGAGGCCAGACTGCAGCTTAGGCCTGCTCCCTGCCTGAGCCATCGGTAGGACATCCCCTCAGGGCTCTTGGACTGTGAAAGGAGGCAGGCTGGGCTGAGGGACCCTCCCCCCCAGTGTATGAATTCATGCACCAGGCCTCTAGTATCAGAAGAGAATATAAAACACTTTTAAGGAAAACTGTCATTTATTAATAATACATTTGTTAATACATACTGATGAGATAAAAAGTTGCTCTGAAATTTTGAAAAGAACACAGATTTTTAGACAAATAAATCTTTATAATGTTAATAATGCTTCTAAGACCTTACCCCTGTATAAAGATATTACTGCTATCTACCCACTGCAAACCTGCTTGGAAATTCCTAAAACATTCGTCAATATATGTTGTATTTTCATGATCCAAAGACCTAACACAAAGCCTGCTAAGGCACTGGCTAGAGGGAAGTGTCCCCTTCTGCTAACCCTGGATGGGGAAGCAATTTTCCAAAGGACTCTCATTTGCTGAGAAAAAATGGCCCCATTTCTAAACATTCTAGAGGCATTTTCAGAAAATGCAATGGATTCGGCAGCAACACCCTGAAGCTTACTAAATGCCAGCAACTCCAACAAACAAAGGTGGGTAAAGCCCATGTTGTTATGTGTTGAACTGGGCATCCCCAAATTCATATGTTGAAGATCTAAACCCAACAGCTCAGAATGTGATCATACTGGAAATAAGGCTGTTGCATATATAAGTAATTAACATGGAGCCATACTGAAGTAAAGTGGGCACCTATTATCCCTATAAAAAGGGAAGATTTAGACAAAAACTCACACCCAGGGAGAATGCCCTGGGAAGATGAAGGTAAAGACTTGAGTGATGCTTCCACAGGCCAAGGAACACCAAAGATTGCCAGCAAACCGCCAGAAACCAGGGAAGAGTCATGGAAAAGTTTTTTCCTCAGAGCCTCAGCAGGAACCAACTCTGCCAACACCTTGGTGTCAGAATTCTACCATCTACAGCTGTGAGACAGAAGCTCCTGCTGTTTAAGCCACCCAGTTACTGGCACTTTGTTCCAGCAGCCCTAGCAAACGAAAATGCCAGACGAGTGCATTATGTCTATGATCTGTGCCCTAGTAGAAGAGATACAGGAGATACACAATAATAATACCTATGGCAGTGATGAATGCTTTACGTGCATACTCATGTATCAGAACTTGGTAGCATTAGGCTAATTTTATAGATGAAGAGACAGGGTCATGGCTCACCCCCCACCAAAAAATACCAAAAAATAAATAAATAAAATCCTCCAAATCATGTCAAGCCATTACACATGCTGTCCCCCTGCCCACAACACAACATGAAACATAAATGCTGAGGAAGAGAAAGGTCTAAAGTACAAGCAGGTACGATATTCAGTTGCAGTACAAGGAAGGGTTCGTGGAGGTAGACGTCGCATGGCTTCAACATGGACCGCTCTTCCACATAAGGCTGAACTGAGGAGGAGTTAGGTTTCACATCATGAAGAGCTACTCGATGGGTGGTTTTACTATTCAAGAACATACATCTGGCCGGGACAAGTTTGGCTCAATGGATAGAGTGTCGGCTTGGGGACTGAAGGGTCCCGGGTTCGATTCCAGTCAAGGGCATTTACCTTGGTTGCGGGCATATCCCCAGTAGGGGGTGTGCAAGAGGCAGCTGATCGATGACTCTCTCTCATCGATGTTTCTAACTCTGTATCTCTCTCCCTTCCTCTCTGTTAAAAATTAATAAAATATATTAAAAAAAAAAAAAAGAAAAAAAAAAAAAGAACATACATCTGGCCCTAACTAGTTTGGCTCAGTGAACAGAACGTCGGCCTATGAACTGAAGGGTCCCAGGTTCGATTCCGGTCAAGGGCATGTACCTTTGCTGCTGGCATATCTCCAGTAAGGAGTGTGCAAGAGGCAGCTGAATCAATGTTTCTTTCTCATAAATGTTTCTCTCTATCCCTCTCCTTTCCACTCTATAAAAAAATCAATAAAATATATTAAATATATATATATATATATATATATATATATATATATATATATATATATATATACTGCATCCAAATTATGCTCTCATTTTCATTTCAGATCCCAATGCTCTGAAATCCAACCAGCCAGCCACCCTTACTACAAATTCCTCTGGTCAAACAGACTCACAACATGGGTGGGAGCAGGACATCAAGAGAAGTAAGTGAGTTTGAGGCTGGGGTCTACCACTTGCTAGCCTCTTGATGTTACACAATTCAGAGAAACTCTGCGAGGCCCTGCTTCCTTCTTTGCTGAGTGGGGATAATAATCCTTTCTTAAACCATCAAGAGAGTTGGGAATACTCCTACCCAGAAACCTTCAAACTGGTGGTGCCTTAGCTTGTATGTCAATGAAGATTTATTGAGCACTTACTCAATATACCTGTATATACCGGTGCTGGGAATGTGGCAAATAACAAGACAGACAAAAATATCTGTGCTCCAGGAGCTTCTATTCAAGTTGCTAAAAAGAAACCTCAAACCAATAAAAACATGCACTGTAGTAGGTAAGTGCTGTGGGGACCAGAAAGCTGGAAAGCGAGTTGGGCATGCAGGAAAGGGGAGGGAGAATAGAGATTTAAAATGGACTGGTGAGGAAAAGCCACACTGAGGTGACATTTGAGTAAAACATTTAAGGAGTTAAGGGAATGAGCCAAGTGAAGATCTTGGGGAAGTAAAACTAATAACAAAGTATTCCATTTCATT